CTAGTCAGCAATGGTTTGGGCTTTGTGGTTTTGTTTGCAAGGTATCCATTTTTGCTAAGAGGTTGGGCATACCAGCCTGCCAGAAAATCAGGCAAGAAGATAATCTCAATCCACACGCCATCCTAACCTCACAAGACGCTCTTGATAAACAAGAAAACATGACCCTGTAGGGGGCAAGGAATATCGAATTTTGCCACCTGCCTTCACTCTAGGTCCTTGGTCCCATCAGTGAGGCGGCAGTAAAATGTTTTCCTCTCGTCAATAACGGGCGCCATTGGCTGCCTTCTCATGCCAAGGCTCCAATCTGCGATTTCCTGGTGTCTCGTTTTGAAGGCAAGATGAGATGCCACAAACCATGGGACTGTTCTCCTCTGTCAAGGCCCTTTTACTTGAACTAAGACTGCTCAGTCCACTCCTCCCCAGCCAGGCAGGCCATCACCATGGCCTTGGATTTCCTGGCGAACATCGGGGCCTCCTCATGCACGATCATGGTGATGTTCACACCCACGGGCAGCTCATTCTGATGGGTTAAGAAGTCCTTGGAGACTAGCTTGAACAGTTCGGGTAGGGGGTGCTTCTTTCGGGGGGTAAAGGATTCTGTGTGCCTGAAGTCAACTCCTGAAAATACTTATGGCAAAAGCACACAAGGCACACCTGAAGCAAATCCCCCAAGATGTCAGAAGCCCCTAAGGGGACAAGCTCCTCTCTGGGCCAGGCCCAGCACAGGGGCCTCTGAAAAGCAATCCACGGCAGCTCAGAAGCTTCAACTTTTAGGATAATGTTCACACTTCTCCACAATCTTTAGCCTTGAGGCATTTTGACAAAAGGAAAGAAAACAGCTCCCATCCATGGGTGACTGCCTCTGCCAATTAAGAGATGGAGTTGGCTTTGGTGACAATGTTCAGCAGAAGCAGTGACCATGACCATGAACAGGACACAGGAAACATCCGGATTTCACAATCCCAGAATCTTCTGGCTCACCGAGACTAGCAGTTACACAGTGCTCTCTACTCGGGGTGGAGGGAGACATCTTCCTAACAAAAAAATCCCTCACTGGCTTTTAGGGTAACAGTGATGGCCCCCAGGAGTTAGAGGGCACACCCAAAATTTATAGTATGGTGCCTCCCCCGGCCCCCCAACCTTCCCCAGAGCCACCAGGTGCTACAAGGACACATGGAGTCCGGTGTGTCCAGCAGGTGGTGGAAGCACAACTGGAGCCCAGCCTGGAAGGGTGAGGCGGGTGTAGCATGGGGGTGGGCTGGCTGCAGCGGAATGCCACTGCAGGCAGGGCACACGGCTCACAGCGCAGGAGCAAAGGTTTCTAGCGCTAGTGTGGAAGAGACCAACGAGCTCACCTACAGGGTCTGACTGCAGGACTTCAGTTTGGGGAACATACTGGCCAGCATACTGGGTGGCGTCGTGAACGCGATCAGTTACTAACCAAAAGGTCGGGGCTTCCAGTACATCCAGTGTCATCTTGGATGAAAGGTCTAGCATTCTACTTCTGAAGATCGGCAGCCGTGAAGGTGAGCGATCACACTCTCGCACATGTGGGAGAGACCACGGGCCTAGGGCTCACAAAGTGGTCTTGCTGGACAGGACACGTGGAAGCGAGATGCAGGCACGACGATGTGTGGTTGAAAGGTTCTGGAGGGCAAAGGGATGTGGAAAGAGGAACTGGGGGGAACTCTGCCAGCCCCCACCAGACCGGCAGCAGAAGAAGGTGAGGTAAGGTCAGCAGGACAGAGCAGAGCCGGCAACCTAGCAGCGTCGGCAGGTACCAGACAGTTATGTTCAAACGGAACGGCAAAGCTGTGCATGACTTCGTGAGAGCCCATCCTGCCTTACGAACAATCCAAGCCTGGATAAAATCTCTTCTCAGATTGTAGGAAATATGGAAGTGTGCAGAGAACCCATGAAGCAGCAATTCCCATAATGTGTCTGTCTGTTAAGCAGCTACCTGCCAGGGCAGAGTCACGTAAAACAAAAGAGGGGGTTTAAAAGGAGAGAGTCAGGTAAGGATGCGTATCAGTACTATATAATTGAGTGTTTCTCCAATATGTCGAAAATGGCACACGTATCCTTGACGTGAGTGTCTCTCCAGGTATTCTCCTTACTTCTAGAGCCGATCTAAAGAATGCCTGCACAGAATGCCTGCTGTGCTTGATCCTTCTCAAAGCTTAAATGCTCATCTCATGGTAGAAACTGACTAGATCCCATGCCCTCCGCCTGGCACCTGATACGTAGGCTAACACCAGACCGCAGTGCTCAGCTGGGTAAGGGGCTCACAGCCGTGGAATGGATCATATAAGGCAGAGATCCCCAGATTAAATATAATGCAAGTTAAATTGGTAATTGAAGTTTCTCCAGTGGTCACATTAAAATATTTTTTTACATTAACAAATTTAGTAAAATATTTTACTTTAGAATCTAGTATATCTCAAATATTGTCATTTCAATATGCAATAGGTATTTTTAAAATGAGATTCGTTTAAAGCTTTGAAGTCCAGGGTGCATATGTTATGCTTACAGCAGGTTTCAATTCGATGTGCTACGTTTCAATAATCAACATCCTCACATGACTAGCAGCCATCACACTGAGCAGGCGCAAATCTAAAGGGATCTTTGCAAAGGGCAGAAGTTCAAGTTCACCGAGAAGATCCCTGAGAAGCCAGAGTTCTGAGGGCCGGGTAAAGGGAAGACAACTTCTCTGAACACTGTTAGGAGTGAGTACTACATTGTGACACCGTATGAAACATCGGCGGGCAGAGACCACCAGCCAAGAAGGCGGCTCCTGGGGTGGTCTTAGGAGACTGAGCAGTCAGCCCAGAGGCCAGCCAACATTAAAGCCTGATTTCAAACTTTGCCATGGTCCTGTTCTGCTTTCTTCTTTGAATCTTCCAACAGCCCGAGGAGAAAAACAGCCTCTATCCCATTTTGCAGAGGAGAGAAACAGTGTCAGGTGGTTTAAATTACTTACCCATTTCCAGTTTTGGCAAATCTGAAAACAGCTGAAAACCCAGTGTGACCCAAACAAGTATCTACTGATATAAGGGCCCACAAATGGCTTTCTGGACAGCACTCCATTTTCATACAGGGCTTGTTCGCTTTCAAAATGCTTCCACGCCCACGTTGGATCACTCAAGGGACAGGATGGGGTTGCACTAGCAGAGAACGCTTTGTAGGTGCCAGTCACAGAGCAAAGAGCCAACGCTGCAGATCACCTAGTGCTCTAAGCACTGTATCTAACATCTCTCCACTACGTCATCCTGCCTCCCTTGATGGCTGGCAGTTTTCCTTTAAAATAAAACATTTAATTTCAAGATGACTTTAAAAATACTTTTCGTCGTGTTCCCAAGTCAGTGGGAGCCTTTAAGCATTAACAAAATGGAACTATTCAGTTCCTTCCACCTATCCAATCATAAGCTTGAAACTGGCCTGGCTACATTCCTGGCTCCAGAAGCGCTGCCCGTAGCACCATAAGGGACCCCCTCCCTTATAATCAGATGTTTGCACACAGACTGACTGAAGGACAGACAAGGGAGAGAGCTAAAGAAAGCACCCTCTTCACACCGCAGCGCTGGCCAGAGGGGACTGAACCCCATGGCTGCCCCGGGGCTGGCTCTCCGTTTGTTCACCTCACGTGCCTCCCGGAGGAGGCAAGCCTACCAATTTAGGATTTCTTGGAGCCTCATGACTGGCTAGAGCGCCTGAGCTCCTTGGGTTTTAACTGAGACAACTGTTAAATAATACTCATGCTTATTTATAGCTAGCACACTGATTTCCAATCATTGAAAGCAGGTGGGAGGGGGACCTGCCTGGCCAAGGCAACTCAACAGGGCTGAAAGCAGGGAGACAAGGGCCTGGAGTTGCATTTTGTTACCAGAGCACTTGGCTCTCAAAGTATGGATCACATTTAGGCAAGTTTTCGGTTAAACCAAAGAGAAAATCAGCATATTCCCAAATAAATACGGAGAAGCTTCCCCAAGAACAGTAAGCACCCCTCATCCTTCTTTCAAAATACGATTTCATAAGAATTTCACAACTCCCTCTTAAGGAGATATAAATGTAAGGTAACAGAGACTGGAGTTTAAAATGTACCCTGCCACACAGCTACCTACTAGCTTAACCTGTGCCAGGTGCCGGGACACTTTAAGGACAGTCCAGGCATCCCTTTGGCAGGTGTTCTAGCATAAAACAGGGCACCTGAGCATCTTAACATCATCTTTAAAGGCTAAGGCCAGGGTAGAGATCACCAGTTTCACAGCATGCGACTTGGTTCTCCACTTACCTTTTATTAAACATTGTCCAAGTGCACTTATAAGTAAGGAAGTCAGGCAGTACCAAAACATATACTTCATGTAAAAGATGAAAGAGTTGCCACCTAACCAGGCTTTGGCTGCCAAGCCTGAGAGACTTCCAAGAACACCAGGCCACCTTTCTCATCAGGAATTCCAAGCTGAAGTTCCCATGAGTTTCTAGCCCAGAAGGGCAGTGAACTACCGTGGATACATGATTTTAATGATTTGACAGGAGCCCTGTGGCCTGCCGCCACGTGGCCATCAGCCATGCCACCATCTGGCATTCTCTGAGGGCCCAGGTGCCGAAGAAAGCCGAGGCACACGCTGGGAACAGCCTCCCCATGGTAAAGGTGCCTGGTCCTCAATGCAATACAACCACACCCCATCAAGCAGAGCACATGCATACAGAAGAGGAGGGGTCCGAGGAGGAGGG